AACATTTTAATTTACCCCCCCCCCCCTTTTTTTTTTTACTTGTCAGGTTGCTTTAATGCACATCATCTGCAGATAAATTCATCCCTTCATCTGTAGATGAATAAACAGTTACAAAATGAAACATTGTTTCCTTTGAACAATGCAACATTGCCAGACTGCTTTTCTTTGACAGCTCCAGCTGTCAGAACTTTCTGTGTGTACTCCCCAATCCCCAATGCCATAGCTGAATTGCCAAGTAGAATGACGGGGGAGATCCTGGAAGCAGGGAAGAAGGACTGGACACTGTGTACAATGATGACATTTTTGGTCGTGTAACACGTCCAGAGTCTGCAACTGGATAGGGAAGCTTTCTGATCGAAGCTGTTGTTTCCTAATTTTTTTTAATGTTAGAAGTCAGTGAAGGAGATGATTTTAAGAGATGAAGAATCAGAAGGTAAAACATCCAAATAATAAACTAGTTAAGTGAAGAATGATTATCCACATGGTCCATCACCTTAGGACACTAGCAAAAAACTGACAGAGTGGGTACGGTTATAGAGGGGCATCCAGTTGGCATGTCCTCAAAAGCCAATGTCCAATCACCCGAATGTACGAGTCTATAACACAGGGTCTATGAATACGTTGCCTGCATCCCTTGCTGTACAATTAAGTTATAAAATTTCTATCTACACCTACTATAAAACTTACCTTAATCTGTGGTATCACAATCTAGCATTCCAAGCTATTCTTCACTGCAGCTAAAACAAACAATTTCTAAAATTGTGGGGGGAAAAAAAAACAAAAAAAAAACAACCATCCTATTTGACAAACTGAAATCCTACAATTTGTATGGAATGATTTTTGGAAATATAACCATACTACAAAATAAAATCCCAAGCTTTCTCAATGTTTTATTTGCTGTTTGAACTGTACTTCCACTTTTGCTAAAGCATAATCTTGCTTATCTCACCATTGAGTAACATTGAAAAAAATTCAATAAAAAAATGATTGAAACAAACACGAACCTATGAATCTAACACAGTGATAAAAAGAAAGCACACTGTCCAACTGCTATATACCAACCACAAGGCTAACCCTAGACATGAGAAAACGGTTTTATCTGTTAATCTGCTTTATTAGCTGAAAACAGACCAGGAAATGACGGCAGATCTATTGATATGGCTAATAAAAGAATATTGTTGATCATCTGAAATGTATTTTTCTGATTAACGGCCATTTGTGCTCTCCATTAAAACCATCATGCATGTTTATTTCCAAATAATGCCATCTCATGTCTATAAGGCTAGCATCAGACTGTTTATAAAACAATCACATATACAAAACTACACTATAGCAGCCATTAAACATCACGATACAGATATACCAGCCTCATCACTTAAAATCCTAACCTGTACAAAATATCACAAATAACTGGTGTGACTGACAGACAAAACACGTAGGATCAGGACTGCAGGTATACAACAGCATTTATCTACCTTTAGGCATGTTTGCTAATGCAGAGAAAAGAACAGCAAAGAACATGTGCAAAGTGCAGTAACAAGATTTTAGTTTACTGGAAAATGCATTCTTATTGGCTGCTATGATGTACAGCATTCTGTCCTTCCTCCCTGCTTGTAAAATGATTAGTAACACCCTGAAGGGTATTTCCTGTATGTACTGGCAAACTTCACAAAAGGAAATGGTAGAAAATAAAACAAGATGCCTAACACTGTATAAAGCTAAAAAAAAAAAAAGTGGATTTCCTGACTAGGCACTTTAAAGTGTATTTCCACGAATACGAAACTGGGAGAACACCTACTTCCTATTTGTTACATGCTCCCTTTTACATAGCATAACTAATATTTAAAATATGATACTTACATTTTTAAGTGTTCTTTTCTGAGACCTCAGGACTGAAAAATCCTAATTAGCGTCCCTTTCTCTGTAATGGTTAGGAGGGAACTGGGGAGTTCATTTTTACCATAACTAACCCTGGCTGTACTGTGCTGGCAAATCTCATTATCAGCTGTAAAGTAGATTTGAACACGGATTGTCCTAACAATGGAATAAAGATCTACAGTAGATATAAAAACTCTACACACCCCTGTTAAAATGTCAGGTTTCTGTGATGTAGAAAAATGAGACAAAGATCAACCATTTCAGAACTTTTTCCACCTTTAATGTAACCTGAAAATTGTACAACTCAGTTGAACAACAAACTGAAATCTTTTAGGTGGAGGGAAGTAAAAATATAAAACTAAAATAATATAGCTGCATAAGTGTGCAAACCCTTAAACTAACACTTTGTTGAAGCACCTTTTAATTTTATTCCAGCACTCAGTCTTTTTGGGTATGAGTCTATCAGTATGGCACATCTTGACTTGGCAATATTTGCCCACTCTTCCTTGCAAAAACACTCTAAATCTGTCAGATTACAAGGACATCCCTCTTCAGATCACCCCACAGATTTTCCATCGGATTCAGGTCTGGGCTCTGGTTGGACCATTCCAAAACCATAATCTTCATTTGGTGAAGCCATTCCTTTGTTGATTTGGATGTATTCTTTGGGTCGTTGTCATGCTGAAAAAAAAAAGTTTCTCTTCATGCTCTTTGCTTTCTAGCAGAAGCCTGAAGGTTTTGTGCCAATATTGACTGGCATTTGGAAGTGTCCATAATTCCCTCTACCTTGTCTAAGGCCCCAGTTCCAACTGAAGAAAAACAGCCCCAAAGCATCATGCTGCCACCACCATGCTTCACTGTGGGTATGGTGTTCTTTTAGTGATGTACAGTGTTGTTTTTGCGCCAACAATATCTTTTGGAATTATGGCCAAAAAGTTCAACCTTGGTTTCATCAGACCAGAACACATTTTTCCACATGCTTTTGGGAGACTTCAGATGTGTTTTTGCAAAATTTAGCCAGGCTTGAATGTTTTTCTTTGTAAGAAAAGGCTTCCATCTTGCCACTCTACCCCATAGCCCAGTCATATGAAGAATACGGGAGATTGTTGTCACATGTACCACACAGCCAGTACTTGCCAGATATTCCTGCAGCTCCTTTAATGTTGTTGTAGGCCTCATGGCAGCCTCCCAGAACAGTTTTCTTCTCGTCTTTTCATCAATTTTGGAGGGATGTCTAGTTCATGTCACTGTTGCGCCATATTTTATCCACTTGATGATGACTGTCTTCACTATGTTTCATGGGATTTGTAATGCCTTGGAAATTCTTTTGTACCCTTCTCATGATACCTTTTAAAATGAGATCCCTCTGATGCTTTGAAAGCTCTCTGTAGACCAGTGTTTCTCAATTCCAGTCCTCATGGACCCCCAACAGGTCATGTTTTCAGGATTTCCATTATTTTGCACAGGTGATTTGATCAGTTTCACTGCCTTAGTAATTACCACAGCTGTTTCATCTGAGGGAAATCCAGAAAACATGACCTGTTGGGGGTCCATGAGGACTGGAGTTGAGAAACACTGCTGTAGACCATGGCTTTTGCTGTAGGATGCGACTAAGAAAATGTCAGGAAAGACCTACTAGAACAGCTGAACTTTATTTGGGGTTAATCATAGGCACTTTAAATCATGGCAGATGTGTACTGACTCCTATTTAACATCATTTTGAATGTGATTGCTTAATTCTGAACACAGCTACATCCCCAGTTATAAGAGGGTGAGCACACTTTATGCAACCACATTATTTTAGTTTTATATGTTTACTCCCCTCCCCCCTTAAAAGATTTCAGTTTGGTTTTCAATTGAGTTGTACAGTTTATAGGTCGCATTAAAGGTGAAATAATTCTGAAATTATTTATCTAATAATTTTTTGGCTAATTTTTTATATTACAAAAACCTGACATTTTAACAGGGGTGTGTAGACTTTTTATGTCCACTGTAGAAGCTTGCCTTCTTCATTGTATGTTACTGTGGGGAAACTCAAGTGTCCCGTCTGTGTGGGGAGAGACTCAAATTGAAATTGATCAAATTGAAATTGGAGTGTTCCCTCCCTAAGGCCTGCTCCAACTAAAAAAAATGAAAAAAGGTAAGAAATATTAAAAATATATACTTATTTTTATGTATGCTGTGTTAATGTATCAAATAATAGCGGGGTTCTCTCAAATTTAACAGCAACAGTGAAATACAATTTTTTACTAAAAATGTCACACAGAAAAATTAATTTACAATATCATATTAGAAAATTTTTTTTCAGTATATGTCATACTGTTTAGTTCAAATATTTGAAATATATGTGATGCGATTGTGCAGTAAAAACTGAGAAAAGTGATAAGAAAAATTAAACTGAAGGGGGAGGTATGATGATGTTTATGGCTAAATTCATAAAGTGTGAATATTTGAAATGAACTATCCTTTCTTTCGCAATACATGCCATGGTAGTGTAGAATGTTTGGCAAGGTGATGGTGATATGTCAAATTTTCATTCAATTAAAGCCCAACTCCAGAAAATTTAATAAACTTGAAGTGTCCCCACCCCCTGCACTGCAAGGGTTAAATCCTTGTTATATCTAAGGGAGAGATGAAGAGGCTCTATCACTTACCTTACAGCCTGTTCCGCTGCTCTCCTCCTCCGCTCAAAGCTCAGGTATGTGGCAGGAGCCTTCACATCACTGTGTACAACACAAGGACCTCAACCCTGTAGAGTAGGCTGAGGAGACTGGAAAGTTACTGGAGCTGATCACAGGGATGGAGGGAGCCTGCTGGAGCAAGGCAAGCATGTACTCCTTATTCCTCTGCACCTATTGAAGATTAAAGGGGAATTTAACCCTCACAGTATTACTGCAAGGATGGATTTTTTTTAACTATCCTGGAGTTGGGCTTTAAAATGAGTTGATAGGCAAAGAGGAGGAGGACTGCACAGGACCACACTAAAGCATACACAGATAAAGTGGTTCTGGACTCTCAGGTGGTTATTCACCTGTTTCACCCACAGGTCTAAAATGTTTTGCAGTTGATTTTTGTATTTTTACACAGCAAAGCAAACACCACGCAGAAGATAAAGTACGTACTTGCAACCGGCTCAGCTCTTCTTGGTCCTTATTAGAACATGCCAGGGTTTCTGAGGATTTGCTGGATAAAGGAGAGGACTGCTCATAGTCACTAATCTGCCTGGATAACCTTATGATCACTTCATCTTTTGCTTGTATAGTCTCCATCATCATGCTGAGCTGGTCCTTTAAGTTCTCCATGCCGCGCTTGAGGTCCTCAATTTGCTGGTGAATGTTCTCTTTCTCCTGCTCTTTCCTCTCCAGCAGACGATTCAGTTCCTGAATCTGATCATCCTTTTGTTTGTAACAGTTGCAAGTAATCTTTAGAGGGCCCATCACTAAATGGACTAGAAAGGTATTTATCATACTGTGATGACCTCAGTGACTGCTGCAAAAGTTTTACAAGTTCCTGGCAAGAAAAGGAGAAAAATTATGTATTACAGAAACACACTTTAGAAGGTCAATAAAAGAAAACCAACCAGTTATGGGCAAGCTATAGACCACGTCTAGATTTTAAATATTAAAGCAGCAGCATATACAGTATTTGCACATATGTGTACGTACACATTTTATTCTATCGGAGTACCCCTTGTACACATCCTAAATCAAAAACTGGGTGTAGAAAATCCAGCTGGCCCCAGATACAGTGTTTAACCACACTGAATGTTCCAATGGTCACTAGAAGTAGTTTTAGTAACAGTATTTACTTTAATTCCATACTTTCCCCAGCAGCAAATACTCACCTTTCCTTTGCTCTCACACCATTCTGTTGAGTACTGGGAGATGAAGGAAGCCCCAGTACTTCTAAGTATGGAAAAAGGATCTGACTCACTCCACGTGACAGCACTGGGCCAATCAGTGATGTCACAGAGGAATTCGACAGCCCTCTGCAAACTCCCAGTGGCTGAACAGAACTTAAAGTGGTTTTGTAGGCTCAAAGGTTTTTTTACTTTCAGCAATTCTATGCATGAAGGTAAAAAACCTTTTCTGTTGAGCATACCCCCAGCCCCCTGTAATACTCACCTAAGCCCCTCTTGATCCAGCGATATGCACTGGAGTCTCAGCTATCCCGGGACTCCCTCTCCTCATTGGCTGAGAGAGAAGCGGGAGACATTGGCTCCCATTGCTGTCAATTACAGCCAGTGCGCCAGTGAGAAGAGAAAGGGGCGGTGCCAAGCAGCGGCTCGGTATGAATGGATACACGGAGCAGAGAGTGCCCCCATAGCAAGCTGCTTGACAGGAGGGAGGGGTCAGGAGTGCCGACGATGGACCCGAGAAGAAGAGGATCTGGGCTGCCCTCTGCAAAACCACTGCACACAGCAGATATATAGACATGTTTGTTAATTAAAAATAAATAAGACTTTAGATTCACTTTAAGGGAGTGAAGGAAAAGACTTTATGCTGCTGGCCAGGGTTATGTTCGAGCAAACATGTTTTTTTACCCTGTGTCACCATATGGGTTCTCTGCCAGTTCCAGTTACTAATTCCTTGTTTTTTAATCCCTTGTGTCCAGAGGAAGTGCATCCTCCAATTAGTATTCTACTCCTGTGTGCCAAAGGCTCCTAGCTGTAATTGACGCGCCCCCTCCACCCTCCTCCGGCCACAAGGTCCCTAAATTCAATTAATGTATTCTCCCCCCACGGTCATCCTGTTTACAGCTACAAATTCAATTACCGTATTTTCTTTCCTGTCCATCCTGTCTTGTGCCCAAATGTAGTACATCCCTAAGTAATGCCTTACTTTTTGTGCCAGAGGAAGTGCTTCCCATCCCCGATGCAATTAGTGCCTTTCTTGCCAAATGTTCCCTAATTCAATCAAGGCATCCCCTCCATTTTCATCCTGCTAATGACCCCCCTCCACCTCTCGTCCTGCCTTGGGGTTTAAGAGGTCAGTGCTGGTCTCTCCCGACCATCCATTCTGCTGTGCAGCCACTGAGGGATCCCAACTGTGGCGGGACTCTAGTGGCCAGACTCTGCCTGAGCCCCACTGGAGTAAGGGGGACCCCAGAAGCCACACCAGCTCTGCCTGAGACTTTCACATCAGCTCTGCCCGAGACTTTCACATCAGCTCTGCCTGAGATGCTGCCAGCTCTGCCTGAGACTTTCACATCAGCTCTGCCTGAGATGCTGCCAGCTCTGCCTGAGATTAACACATCAGCTCTGCGTGATTGTATGCTTCGCCTGTGTTATCCGAACTGCCTCCTACCTCCCTGTTGGATTACATACTGCTGTAGAGACTTTAACTTTGCCCCCCGGGGCTGGATTACAAAGTATTTTGGGCTCTCTCTCTGCACTACTTCCCATTGAGTGACTGCTGTCTGTTTTAATAAAGCTTTAAGTGTTTGCCATCTGCCTTGTGTGTTCTGTCCTGCCTACCCTCCGTCACACCCTGCCTGGAGAAAGCATAGATTCACTTTAAGTCTCTCTTACCAAGGGCTCCAGTTTGTCGGGGTATCATTCTGTACAGATCAAGAACACTTCAACAGATTTTTTGTAGATTCCAATTTATTCTCAGGGTTTCCCTTTATATCAAGAAAGGCCTCTAATGTAACACAAAAAAATGTTTTAAAGAGGAACTTCACCTCCATGTGTGTTTTATTTTTAATCCACTCATACCTTGCTGGGTTGTCCTCAAAACACGTACACACACACACACACATCCAGCGAATCCAACGGCATCCTGATATAATCTGCTGCACACCAGGTCCCTTGCCATCATTTACTTTGCTTGTGTCTTTAGGAGCCATCTGTCTCCTCCAGGTTTTTGCAGCTGACCCCCAAAGAAGCATGCACATCAGCAGTAGATTGCCCAATAATCTCCTTGGATGCCTGGTGTGAGTAGAGTATCCCAGGAGGCTGTGAGCAGCTGATGGCTGTCATTCTCACCTAGCAGAGAAAGGCAGAAGCCCTTGCTGATTACCAAAGTAAATGTATTTCTGAAAAAGAAAATTTCCTATAGTGTGAAAGGAAGGGGGAAGGAGCAGTTATATGAAAATTAGAAAGACGGTAAAGGCCCACTTTAAGATAAGTAGCTGCAGCAGTCACTGAATATAACTAGTTAAGACGTGTTACTTTTTCTTGTAGTTGGCAGGAAAGCTAATATGCTGGACTTGAAACATTAATAAAAGCAGGTTACATTAAGAACAGAAACACCCACTGCTTAATGGAAGTAAAGATCTTTCCTTGTTCAGGCCTGCATGAAATGAAGGTAGACTACAGTTAAAAAAAAAACACAAAAAAAAAAAAACACACAAAAAAACCCCACACTATCAGCCCCTGTACCTTATTAACATATTTTTCTTGCTTTCTTCTTAATAAAGATAATTATTAACAAAGCATCATGAAAATCTTAAAATGTTAGTTCACCAAAAAATGCTAATGCAGATAAGGGGTGCCTATAAATAAAAAAAAAAAAAATCAAAAAAACAAAACTGTGCAGCTTTGACCAAAGTTGAATAATGTCCTTGCTACAGGTGTAGTCCATTTACATACCTCCTGAAGCCCGGCTGGAAAACTCAGAGAGGCATAATACCATTCTACCTTATTGACAGGACACTGCTAAGACACTCCCAGCCGATTCAAACCCCCTTGTACGTGCACTCTCTGTTCTGTTAGTAGCTCTGAGCTTAGCGACGGAGGAGATAGTATACTACACATGTGCAGGGGTTTGAGAGCTTGCTCCTGTGATGAGCCTTAATGTCTGGGAGTTTCTTAGTAATGTCCTAGCAACAAGGTGGGACAGCATGATACCATCTCTAGGTTTTTTGGGCAGACTTCAGGAGGTATGCAATTGGCCTACACCCATAGCAAAGGCATTATTCAACTTTGGTCAAAGATCCACAGTATGTTTTTTTATATACATACCCCCGTAGATAAAATCACTTTATTTACAAGTGCTGATTGTAAAGCCTGTCTGTCTGGCAGACGGGCGCCTCATTGAAATACATGAATGCAATGGCAAACTTATGCCAGCCGATTACGGGTTTACAATAACTCCCTGAACATGTGTTGGCAAACACTGGCCCTCAAACTATGGTTCCCTTTTGGTACCAACACTTCACATGACTGCCACAGTCCTAATTCTGTCATCTAGCGTTGGGTTGTGTATGGAATAACAATGTACCTTAGCTAGTAGGTCAGGTAGAGTAATCTCCTGCCCTATGATGCTTGCAAATTTTTGACTAAGATGTCATCTTGCCAGAAGAGGAGCAATACAGAACTTGGAAAATATACAAAGGCAAAAAAAATACTGAACACCAATTCTGAAGGAGGAATTTTCCAATCCCACTGACACCAACAATAAAACACTTTTCTCCCAACGATAACCACAGAAAACTATTTCTTCCACTGATACCAAAGATGGACACTATTTCTACTAATGATGGGACTTTATTCCTCCCACTGATTGCAATATGGACGCACTATTTCTTTTACTGGCACAAACTATTCTTCCTCCCACTAACCAATGCTGGGCATTTTTATGTCCATTGATTACCTACACCAAAGCATTTCTTTTTTTTTTTTTTTTTTTTTTTTTTTTTAACTCTCAATGATCCTGAACCCAGGGGCAATTTTAACTCCCAAAATTGCAATCTGCCCCTCTAACAGTGTGAAGGGCACCGAATGGCATCTTTTGTTAAAAGTTTTACAACGCCTTGTGTAAACCACTGCAATAAACAGCAATACAACCAGGCCTACAGAGGGGGAATTCAGTGAGACAAAGGGCAATGTGAAACATGCAGAAAACCATAGCAGCCAATCAGAAATCATCTTCTAATAAGTTATTCTAAAGTTCACGTTGGTGTTTGATGGATTTCATCAAAAGGCACTAAATTCTAAGTGTACCCAGAACACTCTGCGGCATCCTGCAATGCACATAAAACCACACATACCAAACACGTTCGGCAGCTGGGTCTGGTTGCCTTCACTGCTGAAAGTTTTATGGATGTCACAAGATCAGAGAGACTATGCTTTAAACACATGTAAGATCCTGAACACTTCCAAAAGGAAAAAGAGATACGCACACAACTCACATGATCGGGAAGCTATTTATAGCATCCAGACAGTAACAACATCCAGCTGGGGAAAGAACTACATCTCTGGTAAATCCTTGCAAATGAACATGATGAATGGCTGAATATTTCCACTGGTTTGACCCCTAATCACAAGACACTGCTTCGGCTCCCATTTCCTAAAATGTAACTTTCTTGCCAGAGTTCAACATTGCACAAAAAAAGTTCCTGGAACAAAGTTTTGATATTGCTCCTTTGCAAGAGCATCAGCAGTTTACTAGTATGAACTAAAAATGTGTGTCTATATACTTCAATGTAGACATCATTCCTTCATTTTCGGCTCCTAAAAGTCATCAGTAATGAAGCAGAATACCTGTATAAAAAGCCTCCAGTGGAAGATGCCATTTCTCGACTCCTGGATCACATTTTGTTGAATGCACTAGTATTTATTAGTGCACTATATAATTTTCTCTAACATTTATGTTACATATGAAACGGATACGATACGTGGTACCAAAGTTTAAATGTTTGTTTTTTGCTATAATGCATTCTCTGCATTAAGGTAGAAAATGTCCCACTACCTGTCCTACCGCCCAGTCCATAAACACTTACTTCCTGTCACTGTTCCAGCACTGTTCCTGGCTCCAGCACCGCTCTCCTCACGTTCTGCTTTCACAGGAGAAACTGAGAGCAGTGGAGCCATAAGCTTCTGCTATTCTAAGTCAAACCTCTGCGAGATGGGTGCAAGGGTTGTGGTTTACTTCTCTGTGGACGCACACAGCCTATCTCAGCTACAGGAAGCCCCAGAAGAACAGAGATGCTGAGAGCACCGGCAGGGGACTACCAGAAGAGGAGGAAGCAACCTTTTTGTGCAGATAAGCGTTACCTCTTTTCTTTTTTTATTTCAAAATAATATATAATATGAGCAAGTATTGGAGTTCTGTATTTTCGTCGAAATTTTCAATAAAAATTAATGGAATGAAAAACAATTTTAGCCTTTAGCATTACTTTAATCAATGACACTTTCAATTCTAACTAAATCTTGTAATACTGCACTGTCTCCTATTCATATTTGTAACCATTTTGTGGAATAGAGTGATAAAATGTGGCACAATTGCCAACAGTGTGCAGACAGACATTCGCATGCTTTATAAACAGGCAAGCACAGGTTCATACTGCTTGAGCTCAGAGGTAAGGCCCATACACATTAATGTAGTGATGTATATGGCTTGGATATGGTACATTCAAATATTGAAGTCTACACTAAATATCAAATGACCTCCAGGTAAAGATTTAATCTTTCAGTGTGTTTTCATCAGGGACATTATACCTCTCAGGCAGTTGAACATTAACTTTAAAACATGTACACAAAGGTCCAGCATTTTCTGCAGCCTCTCCACATCCTAACAGCTATTCATGCTACCAGACTTTGCACTCTACAGTCTTGGTAAATCTCCCCATAGTGTCTCCACAGAGCAAGTGGTGCCATGACGTGCATTGTAGAAAAAAAAAAGCAGCACGTCTGCAATTTTCTTTACTGCAATTTACATTACACCACCGTTGTGGTATCTACAGGGCACCTGGAAAACAATTGTTTTTTTAATGTGCCCCAGTAGTGATCTGCGTTTGTTTTTCACAGAAAAGGCAGGTCACCGCATACAGTGTGAACGTACCCTAAACTGTGGGCTGCACTTGGACATACACTAATGGGTTCTATGCACTCTGCATGGGACTGTGTGAATGTACTGTTGCTGTATGTATAAATATATCAAATAAAAACAAGTCATGAAATACATATGCAGCTAACCTTTTGGCTGTTCAGTTCCTGCCTCAGTCTCTCCAACTCCCCCTGCTGGTTCTGAACTTTTAACCTAAATTCAAAGTCGTTCTTTGATTCATTCCCAGGTGAAGACTCCACAGACGAATTATCTACGCTGCTTGGATTCTTATTCACACATGATAATGGACGCCTGGCTTTTGCAGGAAGGCGTGGAAAATCAAATGGGGAAAACCATTCCTGAAAAAGTAAGATGAGCACAAAGAACAAATGATTAGTTTAATTTGCTGCGATAATTGTTTCAAGTTAAGATTATTGTTAATAAACTTTTAACGAAGAGTATAATATACCTTTAGAAAGCATATATTTTGAGTTATTATTACAGTGTTGACCTTAAAGCAACTCTGTTAGAATGAAAATGTTAAGCTAAGGGTTCCCTGTAAAGAAAATTATTAATATACTTACCTGTTCAGCCACCCACACCGTAGCATCTGAACAGCGCTTAGTATCTCACACACTTCCAGCTGTGTCAGATATCGGGTTTCCCACTGAAAATTGTGGTTCAATCTGCTGCCCCTATGTCACTACTCCCACAGTTGCAAAGCATAATATCACTCTATGTTATTCAAAGCCTAAAAAAAAAAAAAATGAGGAGTTCTGCAGTGATCTTCAATGGTCGGCTTGGAGTGAGCCTTTAATGTAACAACTTACATTGAAAACCAATGTGCTATTTTTTTATAAGTTCTATTTATTACATTTTGCATTATAAATACAAAAAAAATTCCAAGAGGGTGTCACATGACAAGCAGACATAAAACCAACCAACTAAATCAACCTGTTGCTCTGACATAGGTGCACATGACATCAGAAACCAAGATTACAGAATGGCAGCACCCCCAAGCAAACATTCATCAAGGTGGCAGGGAAACAGACAATCCCAAAGGTTGCAAGGAGTAACCATAACAGCATGGGGTGCCTCCATCTAGCAATGAATGGGCAAAGAGGGGAAGCTAGGGGACTGAGTACTGTTAGAAGCTCAATGCCCAAAACATCTAAAGGTAAAACCCACATTCAAACGATGCAAAGTAGCAAGGACGAGGAGGGTTACCTAGAGTGCCCATTCAGGAGATGCAAGCCAGAGGGAGCGCAGACCTTGGGGAATTTATTGGGATAACCCCTACTGTCAGTCGCCCTACAACGAAGTAAAATAGCATTGATCAAAGACATCCATTAATTCTTAGTTGGTGAGATGGACCACTTCTGCCTTAGAACAATGGTTTTAGTGACATAAAAAAGCGAACGTCCCATTAAGATTCTAGAGGCGTTCCATGGGACCAAGATGTCCACTAAAAATTCAGGAGGAAGAACTTTTGAAGTTGTGGAATGGATAGGGCCATTAGAGAAGATATCCAATAACGCGGAATGTGGGTACAGTTCCAGAAAATATGAAGTGGAGGAGATAAAACCCAGTTTAACCAGGGTAATGCTGACCTGGGGTACTATTTAGTATTATATAAGTCTATCTTTGGCCCGGAAAAAGGTGTTGAAAGGGACAGTCCCATATTTGATCCCAAACTTCATCCTCCAGGGCTGTAATATCCAAGACCCTTTTTACCCTGCATTTGTATGCAGCTGAGAGTTCCAGCCATTGCAGGGTGTAGTAGAACCTGGAGTGGGTTTTATTTAAATCATCATCTTGCAGCAGGGGCTCCAAACCAGAAGACTGCAATTAGAGGAGGTTTAAATCAAATTAAATGGTACAGGCCTGCTGGTATTGGAGCTTTTGGACTAGATTCCATCTCAGCAGCAAGAACCTGTCCCTCGAGGAATCAAAGGAGGCCAGTTTGTAACTCAAACATATTTCTGCTAAGATTTTATTTCCCATAGATGCCCAAATGACTGGATCTGGGGATCATTGTGACTTACGGACCTTCGGGTTATTCCACAGGAAATGTGCTACTATTTAAGGCACATTGGTTTATTTGACATTTGTCGCTGTTGCCTGAGGAAAGGACAGTAAAACAGCTCAGAAACATCACAAGTTTTCTGTTTAACTAAATTAAAAGCTCACTCGGAGCATATTTGACTGCTCTTGTAGTGGCCAGTGGAAGAAACCACAGAGCCAGGTGGGTAGTGGGAAAGGTAAGTTATCAATTCTTTTCTTTGCAAAAGCACTTAGTTGTAAATGTCTATTTTTGCAACAGAGTTTATGTGACTTTCACACTCTTAGGGTTTGTTCACACATATGTGTTGACTGGCTTTTTTCCACACTAGATAAACACCAGGCACCACTAGGACACATAGAAGAAGACTGTTTTCTAAGTTCCTTGTTTGCACTGCAACACAGCCCAAACAGGTAGGCACCGCAAATCATCGTATAGCAGCGCAATGCACCACAATGCTGTGTGTAGACATGAATGATGTGTCCCATCTTGCACTTTTGAAGTTAAGAAAAAAAAAAAAAAAAAAAAGGAAACTCAATACTGGTCATTTCAACCAAAACTGACAGCGGCCCACAACACCCATGCCCTAAAATGAAGTGTTTAGCACATGGGCAACATGAACGTGAGTTAAAGATTGTGCTGCCATTTTTTCTTTTTAAAAAACAGATATGCAAATTAGCCGCTTATGTGGCTCGGTACAAATTCTCAGTCATTCTCCAAACAACTGCTCAGAGAAGATATCACCTACGAAGAGAATGTATTGCTTTGAATAAGGCACTGGACTTGTATTGTGAGATATATAAACAAGGTATAGTACAGTAAATATGTATGAGCAAACATGGTTGTCAAAATGTACATATATAAATTACAAATTATAGAGTAACAAGGTTTTTTTAAAAAATATAAAAATCGGTAAACCTGCTTTCACTTATATTTCCATGTCTTGTGTTTATCTCAATGTAACATACATGCGAAAAGCAAACACAATGTGTCCACGTGTAAGAAGGAGAGGAAATGATTCCAATCTGTATACATTAGCAGGACAAACATACAGATACAGAAGCTGAAAATTCACATACATGCATGACATCAACAAATCATATTTATGCATTAAGAGCACAAATATCGAAGTTACCTTAGGAATGTACGTACCGTATTTGCCAGCGTATAAGACGACTGGGCGTATAAGACGACCCCCTACTTTTCCTGCTAAAATGTAGTGTTTGGGCTATACTCGCCGTATAAGACTACCCCTCTTCCAATGCACACCAGTGGGAGGAATAGTGCCCCATCATTGGTGTCAGTGGGAGGAATAGTGCCCCATCATCGGTGTCAGTGGGAGGAATAGTGCCCCATCATTGGTATTAGTGGCAGGAATAGTGCCCCACCATTGGCATTAGTGGCAGGAATAGTGCCCCATCATTAGTATCAGTGGGGGGAATAGGTGCCCCATCATTAGTATCAGTGGCAGGAATAGTGCCCCATCATTAGTATCAGTGGGGGGGAATAGGTGCCCCATCATTGGTATCAGTGGGAGGAATAGTGCCCCATCATTGGTATAAGTGGCAGGAATAGTGCCCCATCATTGGCATTAGTGGCAGGAATAGTGCCCCATCATTAGTATCAGTGGGGGGAATAGTGCCCCATCATTGGTATCAGTGGCAGGAATAGTGCCCCATCATTGGTATCAGTGGGAGGAATAGTACCCCATCATTGGTGTCAGTGGGAGGAATAGTGCCCCATCATTGGTGTCAGTGGGAGGAATGGTGTCCCATCATTGGTGTCAGTGGGGGGTGGAATAGTGTCCCATCATTGGTGTCAGTGGGGGGTGGAATAGTGCCCCATCATTGGTGTCAGTGGGGGGTGGAATAGTGCCCCATCATTGGTGTCAGTGGGGGGGGAATAGTGCCCCATCATTGGTGTCAGTGGGGGGGAAATAGTGCCCCATCATTGGTGTCAGGGGGGGGGAGAAATAGTGCCCCATCGTTGGTGTCAGTGGGGGGGAGGAATAGTGCCCCATCGTTGGTGTCAGTGGGAGGAATAGTGCCCCATCATTGGTATCAGTGGGAGGAATAGTGCTCCATCATTGGTATCAGTGACACCAATGATGGGGCACTATTCCTCTCACTGACACTTGCTGACCCTGTTCTCGTATGGTGCTGCTGCAGCCAGCATATGTGGTTGCAGCAGCACCTCTACACTGACCACTTACCTGCTGGTCCTGCACTCGATTTTCGCGGGGCCGCTCGGCTCCGCCCCCTCGCCGGTGATTGGCCACCTGTGTGCCTTTCCTGAGCTACAGTTCTGGTGGCCAATCACCGGTGAGGAGGCGGAGCCGAGCAGCCGCGCAAACATCCAGTGGCCGGACTGAAGGCGCAGCCGCGCTTCCTGGACCGGATCGTCGTGGGACCGGAACCAGGTAAGAAACAGCCCCTGCCCACCCCTGTACTTAGTGTCCCTTCCGTTGGAAGGGGGGGGGGGGCGGCGGCGGCACCGCGCTGCCCCTCTAAAAAGTGTCAGTATACCGTATACCAGCGTATAAGACGACCCCCGACTTTTGAGAAGATTTTCAAGGGGTAAAAAGTCGTCTTATACGCCGGCAAATACGGTATATGTACATGGCATCAATGAATAACATTGAAGAAATTAGCAAAGGTCTGCCACTCATCCATTCACACTACTGCTTCTCCTCCCAACAGTTCAGACTTTCTGGCTGAGAATGGCGAGTTCTGAGAGGTGGATTAGGACTGTATTTCCTTTTCACTGTACAGTGTCAGTGCAGTTGGATCATCTGCTCTCCTGGTACTGCTTCAGCTCTGCAACTGTCAGTTCTATGTAGTGCAGCCAGCAAGCAAGTCTCCCAACTGTAGACTGGGAGCTACAGCGGTGCCAGTAGAGCAGAAGAACATAATGGAGCACAATACTTCTGGCCTCTGAGGGCATGGTCATCTTGGCAAAAAGGATGGGAGGGTGAAGGGTCGAAAGGGAAATGTAGACAAAGGAGGTGAAGTGCAGGGCCTGAGCTGCAGATGAAGTGAAGAATATGAAGTGCCCGGCTGTAGCTGCAAACAGAGTAGGTGACTTGAAAAGAGGGAGCTGCAGGCAAAGCAGGTGAGGTGCCAGGAAGGAGCTGCAGGGTGAAGAAGGTGAAGGGTCAGGAGGTAGCTACTGGTGGTGAATGTTGAAAGCAGGGTGATGAAGGAGGGTGTACCATGGGGCCGAAGGTGATTCAATGGGGTAAGTGGGTTTTTGCTTTGTTTCCACACTGTAACAGTAACATAGATACACTGTTATGTGTTTCTAGTTCCTTTTGTTACCTTGGGGTCCTTTTTATTATATAAAGAACTGCATGTCCAGTCACCTTTTTTACAGTGCTGGAGGGTAGAATGGTTTGTTGTCTCGCCACTGGATAGTGTGATACTGGAGCCCAAGATTATAGCAAAGCAAGTTGGTAAAAGCAGTTAGTCTTTATTCCTTCCAAACAGGTAGCGCTAAAACAGCTTCCTTCAGTGTACACAAAAAACAAATAGTCCATACACATGTGTTGAAATGTAAAGATATGGCTCACCATCCACAAAAACAGTGTCCCATGCAGGGTTAAAGTCCTTGACTGCTCCAGGGGCCCAAAAGGACAGTTCACCAGTAGCTTAACCATCTAAATCAAAAGCTGTCCACCACTCTTGCTCCTCGGTGTATACTGCTTCACACTCCTTCACATATAAGTACTGGGTGTTTTCTGTTCCTTTTCTGAGCTCAGATGGATAAACCCCTTTAGGACCAAAGTCCCTATAGTTGGGATTTGGAGGTTATTTCCTACTTGAACATCAATCTGAAACTACAAATTCTGATTCCCCAATAAAGACTTACCAAATCAGTCCTCTCCTCTCCATCTGGATTACCAAGCAACCCCTCACCCAACATAGGTGAGAGCCCCAAAGTACCAACAATGTTTTCAAATTGTCCCCAAAGGGAACCACAACCTAAATAGTCAGAAAATATACCTGCCATCCAGGACCCATCCGCGGTGTCCTGTACAATAGTTACATGAAAGAGTAATAGGAATAAAAGGAAACAGTTGATACGAGATATGAGAGCAATATGTCATATATATTTATTCATTTCTATTTTCATACCAGGGTTTTTTGGGCCTCCTTCCAGGGGCCTCTTCTTCTCCTCATGTAGGAGTGATTCTTCCAACTCTTTAGGAGTAGGATTCAGCAGTTCCCATTCCTCATTTGTGTAGAAGGTACTCTTTCTGGTCTCATGGCCACTTCTGCCAGGTCTAAAGTTCTGCACAGAGTTTCTAACAAAGAACAAAATCAGTGAGACTTTGTTCATATAAAAGCAGGCAGCCACAATCCCAATAAGATAAATAATTTTTCATATCAATGCTTTGACTTTCATAAAATTAAGCCATCAGTGTATCACAAATCTTAGAAATATCTTATGTAATGTGTATTAGATGTTAACATGAAACTTCTCTTTTTGCTCTAATTGTATTTAACTCTACGCATCTGACTGACTTACATTTATTTTTAACTCAATAAATGACTATTGTGTTTAAAAGCATCTTTATTATAATTCAAAGTGCAAATATATGTTACAAATAAAGTGCTTTTAAAATCACTGTAAATAGCCAAATCAATTCCTTTACTGCTGCAGCGGGAGAGGGGCCAGCCTTGAAGTTTTACACTACCTGAAATCTTTGCAAATTAGGGGTTTTAATTATCTCCCTCCATAAGGTTTTAATGGCTGGTACAAAATTCAAGTGCAGTCAGAAAATCTCCCATAGTATTTTCCTATCCTTATGTGTATCATGCTACAGTAAGATGACGAGATCAGACGCAGGAACAATCATTTACATTTTTCATAATATACAACAGAGTTTGCAGTAAAACCAACTGTTTTTGTTGTGGAACATTTATAAATGTCCCCCAGTCCAATAGTTTGTAGAGATGGGTTACAAAAAAACTGAAAATGTGAAGATTTGTTACTGGGAACATTAGGAAATGTTAATTTTGCCTAAGACAAACCATGAAAAATCATCATTTGTCTTCAGCTACCCCAAAAAAACAGCAGTGCACTTCCTAGTATATATGAGTGTGCCTTGGCACTCCAGTGTCTACAGCCTCATAGCTGTATATCTGCAGTTTGAGATCTAAGGCACTGCTGCCTCAGACTGCTAGTCTAAAGAGATTTGCAGTGAACTTTGGTGATGTCACTACTGCCCTACTCACCGTTTTCCTTGCTGGAGGCTATGACAGAAGGAAACAAATGCCCTGCTTCTTATAAAATGACTGCTTCAACACCATGCTGAACAAGACATGGTAAGCCAGTAAAGTGGAAAGATCAGCTGGAGGGAGACCACAGACAATGTGGGTGACCAGTCCTTTGCCCTCTGCTTGTCTTTGTGGGGCTCAGATTGTAGAGTTTAATTCCTCTTTAAAATGTATGTTACTCCAGCATTTCATATTTCTGATATGTGTCTGTGTTACTATGCACTTGTATTAAAAATGAATCAGGTTCTCTTTGCATTTCTTCCTTTGTGAAATTGGAGATCTTAACAGTCCCCGTTTTCCTATTTCAAACTGACCACACCAGGCATGGAAACAACCATCCCAGCATAGGTAGTTTGCTTCTTTGCATTCTTCTTGGAAGCACAGCCTGCCTGTATTCTATTGGTAAGACATGCTGACCCCCTGGCATGTTCGCCTGCACAGCTCCTCACTAAGAGCATCAGTGTATTGCTGTTTCTCACCCTTCTGCTGACACATACATAAACAATTTGGCCTTCATTTTAATTGTAAACGTAATGGCTTGTTTTAGAAGGCAAAGGTTCACATATGCTTTAAGGATGTTTAATAATTATGAGAGTTGCTTGAATGAAATGTTTAAAGAAAGATACAAATACACACATTCAAGGTAATAGGCTGAATGGGGAAGCTTTCCCAAGGACACAGACAGACACACTAGGATTACCTTCAGACCTATCAATAACCAGGTACTACAAGTACTTGTCTGATTGGATACAAATTAGTTAGATAAGGTAGACGCTCATATTACTTAGCATTGGTAATTCTAATTATGACTGAACAAAGATTGTATGATCACACAGTATTGTGTATGGTGACCCTTAATTTCAGAGATGTGACTTATTCAAATCTCATAGGACTGAAAAAAAGTAACTTTTTTAAAATTAAAGTGTATCTGTACCCAAAAACAAGCAGCATACTAGCACTTAGATTTGATGGCGTAATTTGTTTTCCTTGTTTTTTTTATCACCTAATGATCTGGCCAGTAACACACTTCCTGTCTGAAGGTGGCTATGCTCACTCCTCCATCCCATCCATGGATGAGCAAATTAGAAACCCTTGGATAACAGCACTGGCAACCTGCAGAGAGGGCAGTGTTTTGCTGGATAAGCACGCAGGAAGTTATTTGTTCAACCCCTCAGGCTGAATGAAAAAAAAAAAAAAAAAAAAAAAAAAAAACCTTAATGATCACAGTACTAACACAGCTAATATAAGTGTGGCGATCTCCCCTCTGAGCTATTGTGTTCAGACACCCCCTTTCCCCTGCCAGGACACACTGATTAGCCCTGCCAGTTTTCCAGCATGCCCATTTTACAGAAGCCAATTGTGAGAATGGCTTCTGTCAGACGACAAGGAGCTGTATACACAGGCCAATAGTTGTCCGGTTCCTCCTGAACAGACTGTTTCTGGCTGATTTTTTGCCTGTGTGTACCCAGCTTTAGATGGACTAGTAGATTTAGATGGGCATTTACGTAAATGACTAAAAGATTAAAGCCTAACACCAACAAACACTTTTTAAACAGTTAAACATGCTTTCTGTTTTTCTTTCTTGTGGGACAAAGGTTTTAATTATAGGAATAAAAGTTGACCATTGAAAGCACCCCTTGTTAAGTATTAAGTGTTAAGTAGTTTGTCTCAACCCACTAACTTCCAGTTTTGCTGGAATGTTTAGTCTGTTAGAGGAAGTTGAAAATTACAAAGTTAATAGCAGGATCAACATATATTAAAACTATATTAGGTGGAAATGCAACAAAACAAATTGCCTTGTTAATGCCACTGGCAGACTGCATCAAATATGACATTTTTATATTTTACCCATAGTCCCACTTTAAGGGTCTTTATCCTGGTATGTTAGTTTATGAATACAGCCTAATGTAGATAGAAGGAAAGATCTAGATATGACTTCATATAATGCTGTCACTTGACCTAATGACAAAAGATAAACATATCTGAGGAGTTGGCGGCTTTTGGATTTGCAATTCAAGTTCATAGTTTCATAGGGAGAAAAAGAATAGTAGTTTTTTTCCCAAACATATTTGGTCATATCGGTCACTTTCTGAGTGACCAAAAGACACGTGCGTCAAATAAGGTGTATTGGCGAAGCGAATGTCCAGTAATATATAGCAAATTACTATTATCCACCCACTAATTTTACAATGACTCAAAGAGGTGGTAGCAAGTTGAGCTCTGAAAAGTATACTATGTGACGGGAAATGCAAAGTGTGAAAAAACGGTAGACCACATGCCGCCAGCACTTCACAGAGGTCTTGCTTAGGTTTACATTAGATTCTGAATGCAGGAAGGAAATCCATCTCAGATACATATAAAATATGCGCTGCAAGTAAGTGATTACAAAACCTCCTAAGATGTGTTGTAACTCAGCACAGCCAGAGATTAGTCTTTTCTAAGGAAAATAGTTTTGTTTTCTAGAAGCTTATGATGTATACACCCTTAAAAACACAAATGTTATAAAAGCTTTAACAAGTTATTATTTCAAGAGTCAAATCTGCAGCTTTAACTAACATATCTGGGAATCCTACAATGAGGGTCTTTGTGCAGGAGCTTTCCATTTTAGGGTGACAATGTTCTGTCACTGTCTTCTAATTGGTGCCCCACTGCCTTCTCTTCAGCACACTTCCAAGGCAAAGTTCACTGCTGTCACTTTTGGGAAGTCATCTCTGAGAAATACCATGCAGCCATTCACTCACGTGTATGTAGGCAGAAAGTAGCTGTAAAGAGGCTTCAAACAATCAGCAGCACTGAGAACAAAGGATTATTTAAAAATGGGACTTGTTTCAGATGATACACAGTGCTTAGGTATACTAAATGCCATTCAGTTAGGATGTAAATTTACTTTAAAGGCTAAGTTCACTTTTTTTTAAATAAAATCCAGCTCTCCTATGCACCAATATACCATTAATGTACCTCAGTTGTAAAAATATACAAGCTCTCTTTGATTTGAGAGCAAGGCCTTACCGTAGCCTTTGGTAAATTTCTTAGAAAGCTTTTTCAATTCCTGGAATGTAGACAGAGGAGCCAGTAGGACCCCGGAAGTAGATTACCAGCTGATTTCATTAGCACACACCTCCTGCACTGGCCTCATTAGTACACACCCTTCACCCATCAACTATTTTTCACAACATCCCCGGGATCTCTCCCCATGTGCATTTGCCTGGCTACCTCAGCATCTCTACAGACGGGCTCAGGCTGAGAGATTGGATAGATGCTGTGTCCTCCTATTATATAGTTTTGGTAAATCTAAAGGAGGTCATACAGAGATTGTACAATCAGACTGTATAGTGTATAGCCACCTCTATACACCTAAAGCTGCACTTTCAGTGTAATTCATTGTTAATGGCACACCAAACAGAGAAAGAAGCATGTTTTGCCACATGAAAAAGTGACAAATTCATCAAAACGCGTATGTGCAACACGTTAAACATGAGCTATTTTGCCACATGTAGCGCAGCCCATTGAAATCAATAGGCTGACCTATGTGTGTAATTGGAAAAAGTAAAAAAAAAAACGTGCTCCTCTACCCTAGGTGTGAATGGGGCCTGAAAGTGAAATTGGTGCGTTTCCACAGAACAATGAAGTTCCATTCACAACTGTGCGTTTTACCAAAAGCATAGCAATCTGCACAGAAAATGCACAAATGCAAATATGCATCGTGTTTGTGTTGTCATTACATGTTAAAGGCACCCCAAGTGTGGCAAACACACCAAAAACGGCGGCAACACTCCATGCTCCCCTCCAAAAAAAGTTCTGGAGCTCTTCTGGGGAGATTGATGCTTGTATGGCAGCCCGTTCAAGTGAATAGGCTGCCCTATGTGTAATGAGTGAAAACGCTTCAAAAATCCCAAAACAAACGTATAAAGGAATGTGAGTCTTCACTACGTGGAGATGTGTCTTCATCCACTCCCTTCTATGTACTTGTATAAAGATGGCCATACACTATGCAATCTGACTGTACAATCTCTTTTAGATTTACCAGAACTATGGAATAGGAAGACACACCTAAACAATCCATTCAATTTTCACCAAATCAGACAGGCCCTTGTACTACATAGCTGATGGGAGGAAGGTAGCATTGTAATGGGAGAGGTGTGGTCCAGAGTGGTGAACACACCCTCTCCTGTGATGCAACAAAGAAGTGAAGGCTTCTGGAAAATGGCCTACAGGAAGTGAATGCTGAGAAACAATTGACAGGAAATGATGCAATCTGAAAATCCGTTCAAAATCTCACATAAACGGACACAAAAAATGAAAAGTCCTGTGGATGAGGTAAGTTAGAGGAAAACACATTGGGATGGCTGGGCCAGCAATGGCATTGGAAAATGCTTCTACATATTATGAAAAGTGAAATTCTGCCCAAAAAGGTGAAGTTTAGGGAAAAAATACACAAAAAACAATTAGACTACTATTTACGGAAGCAGACAGACTTGTAAGATCACAAATAGATCTCTTTACTTGGAGCTTCCCAGTGACTAATTATGTCACTCCTGCAACGTCTCCTCATGGACAGTTAACTAGGTTTTCCTGCAATAGGTTCCCCCACTTTTTGTGCTTTATCCAGTAAGACAAAGGTGTGAACTGCCCCTGCCATCTTATTCATTATGTTGTGTTTTCCAGTAAATGTGACCAAGGCAGACATACGATACCTGATATCATTACTCCACTGTCTGAGCAGGCCTTGTACAGCTGTGTGCCCCGAGCTCTGGTCCGAAGTCTGGTCACCAAGTACACCTGGACACATCTCCACCGCAAAGTGGTTCCGAGCTCTCTCTGCAGCATCATTAACATTTGGCATACTAGTATTATCTGCAAAATAGTGACATAAATAAACCAAACTGACATATAGCCAAAATATGCATTTACATGTGTATGTATGTATGTATGTATGTCTCCAATATATGTAAAGCTACTGGTTTAAAAAAAGTTTAAAGTGGAACCTTGTGCCCCAGTTAAACAGCTGAAGTGTAGGTATGGCAATTTTTGCATAGTTACATTAATCCAGCGTGGACCAATATAAGTATGTATGTGTCAACCTGTGGAATTCCCGTGGACGCTGGAAATCACTGTAGCAGACACCGCTAGTTCAGTGATCGCCAATAGCTTTCAGGTTCCCCTCCTCATCCATCATTCAGGGAACACTTTTCATTTTCTCATTGCCCCACCTTGTCCATCATTCAGGGAGCACTTTGGATTCTTTCACCACCCCACCTCATCCATCATTCAGGGAACACTTTGGATTCTTCCACCACCCCACCTCGTCCATCATTCAGGGAACACTTTGGATTCTTTCACCACCCCACCTCGTCCATTATTCAGGGAACACTTTGGATTCTTCCACCACCCCACCTCGTCCATCATTCAGGGAACACTTCGTATTTTCTCACTGCCCCACATCCTCCAATCAGAAAATGCTTTGCATTCATTGAGAATGCAGAGGGACCACTGCTCAGCACTGGACCCCAGAGGCTATCGGAGATCACTGTAGTTACTGTATAAAATTTGCCGTATCTAAACATCAGCTTTAGGTTTGGTTTTTTTTTTTTAAACACAAATTGCACCATCCCTAATTAAAACCACAATTGTGCAATACAACAATTTTTAAAGAGGAAAGGAGTACGGTACTATATAGATTGTAGCAGACAACACAAGGTCTACATATCTGTCTGAAATCTTGTGCCCAGTGGAAGAAGCAGCAATTGACTAACTTCTGCTGGTTCGCTGCTATCATTGTCATTTATTACAGACATTAATATAGTGCTGACAATTTACACAGCACTTTACATACTGTACAGCAAAATTAATCATTGGCCTAAAATAGCTTACAATCCAAGGTCCCTGTCTCATATGTATACACAAAATAGGGCCTACAGTAATAGTAGCCACTTAACCTACCAGCATGTCTTCGGAGTGCGGAAGCAAACTGAAGTACACAATGGAAACCCACACAATCGCAGTGCGAACATGCAAACTCCATGCAAATAGTATCCTAACCGGGATTTAAACCAATGACCTCAGTGATGCAAGGCAGAAGTGCTAACCACTAAGCCACTGTGCTGCCTTACTACTCATATGCCGCAGTTCAAGAGGTGGTGTTGCAAAAGTGGTTGTTCCCAGTACTGGCCACTTGTTCGTATTCCCCTTTCTATTGCCCAGACCTGCTCAATTTCTGAGGATATAATGGACAAGATGGCTCTTCACAGATGATATGGCTAGAGATGAGCGAATCGAACTAGGCGAACCGGAATTCGAGTCGAATTTCAGGAAATATTCGATTTGAAACATTGTATCTATTAGTTTACATTTAGGATACAGATGTTTCAACCACTGTACATGTGAAGAAGTTGTGAGAGAACTGTCAGAAATAGAGGAACTCTGCACATACACTTTTTGCCGGCTTGGAATTATTCTTCTTTTCATCCTACTTCTTCTTCTTCTTCATCCTCAGAAGAAGAGGATGAGGATGAGGATGAAGAAGAAGAAGAAGAAGAAGAAGAAGAAGAAGAAGAAGAAGAAGTAGGATGAAAAGAAGAATAATTCCAAGCCGGCAAAAAGTGTATGTGCAGAGTTCCTCTATTTCTGACAGTTCTCTCACAGCTTCTTCACATGTACAGCGGTTGAAACATCTGTATCCTAAATGGAAACTAATAGATACAATTTGTATCTATTAGTTTCCATTTAGGATACAGATATTTCAACCGCTGTACATGTGAAGAAGCTGTGAGAGAACTGTCAGAAATAGAGGAACTCTGCACATACACTTTTTGCCGGCTTGGAATTATTCTTCTTTTTTCATTCTTCTTCTTCTTCCTCATTCTTCTCATCCTCATCCTCTTCCTTCTTCTGAGGATGAGGATGAAGAAGAAGAAGAAGAAGAAGTAGGATGAAAAGAAGAATAATTCCAAGCCGGCAAAAAGTGTATGTGCAGAGTTCCTCTATTCTGCAGATACACTTAGAGGAGCTCTGCAGATACACTTAGAGGAGCTCTGCACATACACTTTTTGCCGGCTTGGAATTAAGAAAAAAGTGTATGTGCAGAGCTCCTCTAAGTGTATCTGCAGAGCTCCTCTAAGTGTATCTGCAGAATAGAGGAACTCTGCACATACACTTTTTGCCGGAAACCGCTGTATGGAGTGAATGTCCCAGAACTGTCAGAAATAGACTATTTATGACAGTTCTGGGACATTCACTGCATACAGCTGTTTTAACCGCTGTATGGAGGGAATGTCATGGAACTGTCAGAAATAGACTATTAATGACAGTTCTGGGACTGTCCTTCAATGCAGCGGTTGAAACATTGTATGTATTTGTTTCCATAAATGGATCCATTTATGGAAACAAATACATACAATGTTTCAACCGCTGTATGGAAGGACAGTCCCACAACTGTCATTAATAGTCTATTTCTGACAGTTCCATGACATTCCCTCCATACAGCGGTTAAAACAGCTGTATGGAGTGAATGTCCCAGATCTATCAGAAATAGACTATTTACAGTTCTGGGACATTCACTGCATACAGCTGTTTTAACCGCTGTATGGAGGGAATGTCATGGAACTGTCAGAAATAGACTATTAATGACAGTTCTGGGACTGTCCTTCATGCAGCGGTTGAAACATTGTATGTATTTGTTTCCATAAATGGATCCATTTATGGAAACAAATACATACAATGTTTCAACCGCTGCATGGAAGGACAGTCCCAGAACTGTCATTAATAGTCTATTTCTGACAGTTCCATGACATTCCCTCCATACAGCGGTTAAAACAGCTGTATGGAGTGAATGTCCCAGATCTATCAGAAATAGACTATTTATGACAGTTCTGGGACATTCACTCCATACAGCTGTTTTAAAAACCGTTGTATGGAGGGAATGTCATGGAACTGTCAGAAATAGACTATTAATGACAGTTTTGGGACTGTCCTTCCATACAGCGGTTGAAACATTGTATGTATTTGTTTCCATAAATGGGAAACAAATACATACAATGTTTCAACCGCTGCATGGAAGGACAGTCCCAGAACTGTCATTAATAGTCTATTTTCTGACAGTTCCATGACATTCCCTCCATACAGCGGTTAAAACAGCTGTATGGAGTGAAATGTCCCAGATCTATCAGAAATAGACTATTTATGACAGTTCTGGGACATTCACTGCATACATACAGCTGTTTTAACCGCTGTATGGAGGGAATGTCATGGAACTGTCAGAAATAGACTCCTTATTAATGACAGTTCTGGGACTGTCCTTCAATGCAGCGGTTGAAACATTGTATGTATTTGTTTCCATAAATGGATCCATTTATGGAAACAAATACATACAATGTTTCAACCGCTGCATGGAAGGACAGTCCCAGAACTGTCATTAATAGTCTATTTCTGACAGTTCCATGACATTTCTCCATACAGCGGTTTTTAAAACAGCTGTATGAAGTGAATGTCCCAGATCTATCAGAAATAATATTTCATCCTTCTTTATGACAGTTCTGGGACATTCACTCCATACAGCTGTTTTAACCGTTGTATGGAGGGAATGTCATGGAACTGTCAGAAATAGACTATTAATGACAGTCTCCTTCTGTCCTTCCATACAGCGGTTGAAACATTGTATGTATTTGTTTCCATAAATGGATCCATTTATGGAAACAAATACATACAATGTTTCAACCGCTGTATGGAAGGACAGTCCCACAACTGTCATTAATAGTCTATTTCTGACAGTTCCTTGACATTCCCTCCATACAGCTTTTAAAACAGCTGTATGGAGTGATCCTTCCCAGATCTATCAGAAATAGACTATTTATGACAGTTCTGGGATCCTTTCACTGCATACAGCTGTTTTAACCGCTGTATGGAGGGAATGTCATGGAACTGTCAGAAATAGACTATTAATGACAGTTCTGGGACTGTCTTCATGCAGCGGTTGAAACATTGTATGTATTTGTTTCCATAAATGGATCCATTTATGGAAACAAATTCTTCATACAATGTTTCAACCGCTGCATGGAAGGGACAGTCCCAGAACTGTCATTAATAGTCTATTTCTGACAGTTCTATGACATTCCCTCCATACAGCGGTTGAAACCGCTGTATGGAGTGAATGTCCCAGAACTGTCAGAAATAGACAGAAACTGTCACAGAACTGTCATCTTCTTCTCATCCTTCTATCCTTCTTCTCATCCTTCTTCTCATCCTTCTCCTTCTTCTCTTCTCATTCTTCTCCTTCTTCTCATCCTTCTCCTTCTGCTCATTCCTTCTTCTCATCCTTCTCCTTCTTCTCATCCTTCTCCTTCTCTTCTTCTCATCCTTCTCCTTCTCCTTCTTCTTCTTCCTTCTCCTTCTTCTTCTCATCCTTCTCCTTCTTCTCATCCTTTCCTTCTTCTTCATCCTTCTCCTTCTCCTTCTTCTCATCCTTCTCCTTCTCCTTCTCATCCTTCTCCTTCTTCTCATCCTTCTCCTTCTTCTCTTCATCCTTCTTTCTTCTCATCCTTCTCCTTCTTCTCATCCTTCTCTTCTTCTCATCCTTCTTCTTCTCATCCTTCTCCTTCTCATCCTTCTCTTCTTCTTCTCATCCTTTCTCCTTCTCATCCTTCTCTTTCTTCTCATCCTTCTCCTTCTCCTTCTCATCCTTCTCCTTCTTCTCATCCTTCTCTTATTCTCATCCTTCTCCTTCTCATCCTTCTCCTTTCTCATCCTTCTCCTTCTTCTCATCCTTCTCCTTCTTCTCATCCTTCTCCTTCTTCTCATCCTTCTCCTTCTCCTTCTTCTCATCCTTCTCCTTCTTCTCATCCTTCTCCTTCTTCTCATCCTTCTCCTTCTTCTCATCCTTCTCCTTCTTCTCATCCTTCTCCTTCTTCTCATCCTTCTCCTTCTTCTCATCCTTCTCCTTCTTCTTCTCATCCTTCTCCTTCTTCTCATCCTTCTCCTTCTTCTCATCCTTCTCCTTCTCCTTCTTCTCATCCTTCTCCTTCTCCTTCTTCTCATCCTTCTCCTTCTCCTTCTCTCATCCTTCCTTCTCCTTCTCCTTCCTCATCTCCAAGGGCATTTAAATTAAAGGTACAGTGTTCTGCACTAATTTAAAGGCTCTCTGAAGCCTAGAAACCCTTTAAATAAGTCATCTTCGTAGCGGAGAAATTCGCATCGAATCGAATTTCACACTGGAATTCGCCGAATCAGCCGAATCGAATTTTTCATTTCTTCGCTCATCTCTAGATATGGCTGATGTCACCATAATTGCATAGTGGGAAGTCACTATGCAGATTTGTCAATACTGGGGGAATGGGTGACAACACTAGAAAAACCAAGCAAAGAGGACAAGATGGGAGACAATATGACTCTTCACAGATGATAGTGCTAATGTCTCATCTAAGTGTATGGTGGTACGTCATGATTTTCTTTTACTATATGGGTGACAACACTAGTAAACCAGGTAGTGGCCGATTTTTTATCACTTGGCCCCTTTAAGGAAGGAAATATAGTTTTTGGCAGGACCACCAGGTCCATTTCTTGATATAAGCACATATAAAACAGGACTACTACCACAAGTTTTTTTTATATCACCATATTCCAGGTTATTTCCATTCTGGTTCTATTCTAAAGTTCAATGTTCATGTGTTGAAAAACCAATAAAAAAAAAAAAAAAAAAAAAAAACTGAACTGACCAAGAAATAGAATTAGTAGGCAGAAATACACAACATGACAAAATGGAAGTGATAGAGTTAACATGTTCTTCTTTTTTTCCTAGTGTATGCTTTCGCATGGTTTCGTTCCCCATGTACACCACCCCTAACCAAGTAAATCCTTGTAGGCCAAGTGTATAAATTCCTGACATTGATCCATTATGTACAACATACATACTAAGCTTCTGATCTAAAACGATAAAGCTAGAACAAGTTTAATGTTTTGTTTTGGTGTTCTTTTTAAAACATGTTAAGCAAAGCTGTAAGTATATAGTGCGGGTTAAAAAACAAAATAAAGCATATTTTAAATTTTTTTTAAAGCACTATTAGGCTAGGATCACATCTAAGCATTTTGCATTATGCAGAAACGCACTACCATGCATTTAACATGACTTCCAATGGGTGAAGGTCACATCTCCACGTTTTCAACTGGTGTGATTTTTGGAAAGGGTCAATGACTTTAAATGCAAAACAATGCGTTTTGGTTCAACAGACTTTGATGGAGACACTGAAGAAACGTATGTAATGCACCTTAGACACGCTTTTGATGCTTTTTATATATCTGTCCAGCAACAAGTTGGCCAATAAAAAAAAAACAACAAAACATAAAAAAATGCAAAAAACGCACCGAAACCCCCCACAAATACGCCAAAACCGTGTGTGCAAAAACACAAAATGCACTACAAAAAACCCAAACTGCATAGGTGTGAACCTAGATTTAAACCTAAAAATCAAAACAAAAAAAAATGTAATATATTGCAGCTTACAAATTCTTTTTAACCCTTTATTTAAGAAAGTCATAGGCTGACAAACAGTGGCGTGTAATGACAACTCAGGCACAGCTGAGTAACATAATTACTACAGAAATACAACCATCGATCAAACTAATCTTACTTAAATTTGGTGACTGCATTTGTTTTCTTTTTTCCCCCCTTTATTTCTCCTGGTGATCTGGCTAGCAAGTCTGTTATTTTTCAACTCCCCTTAACACACTAAGCTGTCCAGCAAAAGTGGCAGTTAGAGGGTTGAGACAAACCATTTAGGGTCCTTTCACACAGGCGTTCCGTATGTTCGTTTTTCATCTATCCGTTTATGGATGAAAAACGGACACCCATGTATTTCTATGGAAAATACATTTTTATGTATTCGTCTTCCGTGAAAAAAAAAAATGGAATGGAGGAAAAACGGATGTAAACAGATGTAAACGGACATACGGTTTGTTCTTGCATCTGTTTTGCATTGGTAAAGGTTGTAAAAAACTGATGTAAAAACTGACGAAAAAAACGAATTTAAACTGATGAAAAACTGATGTAAACAGATCCATTTTTTCTTTGAAAAAACGTGACTGAACCGATGAAAAAAAACAGAAAGGCTGTGTGAAAGGACCCTTAACAAGTAAAAAAAACAAATTAACACACAGCTTTTAATTTATATAAAACCTTTATCTCAAAAGGAAAAAAAAAAACGGTTGCTGTAACTGCTTATAGAATGTTAGATGAAGTTCAATTTTAATTAGTCAAGTCCATCTAAATCTACTATTACATCGAACACTTCTCCCCAGACTGACAATGTTGCTGTCCAAAGGTGTCTGTTTTACTACTGCATCCAAAATTCAGACACCCTAAAGCTTGTCATACACTATTCATTTTTTTCCAGCTAGCTGGCCAATTGGAAAATGCTGAATGGATTCTCCCATCCACCCATACAAGATGGATGCGGGAACCTTGTCTGCTGAGCTATTGTATTCAGACAGCGGGACTCCTTCACTGTCAGCATATACTTATCATCCCTGCAGTCCATTGGTTGCATGGGTTGGGAGAATGAAAATTTACGAATTGTCCTGTTTGAGAGGAGATGCTTATTAGACGGAAACGGCCACAGATTAAGTAAAAATCATCCAGTCCCTGAACTGGGCTGAATTTCAATTTATCTATGGCCAGTTCTAGACAGGAAGTGTGTTACTGGTCGAATCACCAAGTGAAATAAAAGAAAAAATCCTGAAAAAGAAAACTAAACCCTCCTATCCTTTACAGCCAAGGAATTTGCTATCTTGGCCTCAGCAGATGACATGGTAGTACACATCTGATCATATATGACACCACAACTGCGACAATTCCCATTTACGTCATGTTTTGGGAAACAGTTAAATAAATGGGTTCCAGTTCTGCTTTAAAGATTGCTAAGCTACAATATATTACTGTTTTTTGGGTTTCATACTGCTTTAAGACCACATGGAGACCAGATCATTCTTGTGTACATAAAACTAGACTCTATAAGTGGACTGCCATTTGTAGATCACTTTGGGTAGCAGTTTAAGACAAGCAATACCTTCAGAAACAAAAATAGATACACCTGCTATAAACTGCTATGTAAAGAAACTTTATAACATTGACAAACAAATCTGAAAAAGTTACAAGATTATTTCTTGAACCTCCAAAACCAATTTCATCCAAATAAATGGCTTCAACATAAAACCTAATTCCATATATTGATATGAAAGCAATCACAGCATTAGTGATTTTAAAGTAAATAATGACATATTCTTACCTATACTTTCCTTGGCCACCAGTCCAGCAGGGACTTCTATAGCCACAGTGTTCAGCATACTGTCTCTCTTTGATGTACCATGGCTGTTGCAATATTCCCAGCGTTTCTGCTGCAATTCCTGTAACCAGTAGGCCATGGCCTGCTTATTAGAAGCCTAAAAAAAAGAAGGATGATAATTGTAATACTTGTCTTGCATTTCAAAATAAACCAGTTCTTATGATGAGCTCTCTCTATTATCGTGAAAGTGACTTTTGCACTCAATGCAAAAATGTACTTTCTTGGAATTCACTGAGAGACATTACAGGTTGATGTAGCCCAGGTTCACATATACAGCGGTTAAAATAAGTATTGAACACGCCACCATTTTTCTTGGTAAATATATTCCTAAGGGTACTACTGACATGACATTTTCATCACGTCGGTATCAACCCATGGGATCCATACATGCAAAGAAAACAAATACGTTTAGAAATTAAGTTATGTGTAATAAAATGGAAAGGAACAGGGAAAAAGTATTGAACACATGAAGAAAGGGAGGTACAAAGAGGCATGAAAAGCCAAGACACCAGCTGAAATCAATCAATAATTAGAAAGGAATGCTGCCCCTTGTCAGTGCAAATTAATATCAGCTGGTTTAGTCTCAACTGATGGCCTATAAAAAGGTGTCTCATTACCAAGGTGTCACACAAACATCTCATGATGGGTAAAAACAAAGAGCTCTCACAAGACCTTCGCAACCTTATCGTTGCAAAACAGACTGATGGCAATGGTTACAGAAGGATGGCACTGTTGGGCCATAATCCGGAAGTGGAAAGAACATCATCTCATCATAAACCAGCCACGACCAGGTGATCCTTGCAAGATTTCTGACACAGGAGTGAAAAGAATTATCAGAAGAGTTGTCCAAGAGCCAAGGACCATTTGTGGACAGCTTCAGAAAGACAAGGAATTAGCAGGTACAATTGTTTCAAAGAAAACAATAAGTAATGCACTCAACCACCATGGCCTGTATGCACGCTCACCACGCAAGACTCTTTTGCTGAAGAAAAAGCATGTTGAAGCTCGTTTAACCACCTCCCGCCCGCCACATAGTAATATGATGGACGCAAGGTGGTTCTCTCGTTCTGGGAGGACGTCAAATGATGTCCTCCCATTCTAACCGCGCATGCGTGGCTCCCAGAGCGCGCAGTGCGGCGATCGGCGGTGCGCTGTGTCCCTCGGACACAGCGGATCACCGATCCACGGAAAGAGCCGAAGATGTCGACTCGGTCATGTGATCAGCTGTGTCCAATCACAGCTGATCACATGTAAACAGGGAAATGCTGGTTATCGGCATTTCTCTCCTCTCAAGCTGTCACGCTGACAGCTCGTGAGGAGAGGAGAGCCGGTAATCGGCATTCCTCAGAGGGGACATGTACACTGATCATCAGAGCACTGATGCTCAGTGTGCCCTGATGATCTGTGTAGCCCCAGCAGCGCCACCTGTCAGTGTCCATCAGTGCCAGCTCTCAGTGCTCATTCATGCCACCTGCAAGTGTCCATCAGTGCCACATCAGTGCCACATATTAGTGCCCATCTGAGCTGCCTTTTAGTGTCACCCATCAGTGCCAGTCAGTGCCACCTATCAGTGTTGCCAATCAGTGCCGCCTAACAGTGCCATATATGAGTGCTGCCTTTCAGTGCCCATCAGTGATGCCTGTCAATGCCCATCAGTGGCACCTACCAGTGCCTCCTCATCAGTGCCACCTATCAGTGTCCATCAGTGCAGCCTATCAGTGCCCATCACTGCAGCCTCATTAGCGCACATCAGTGAAGGAGAAAAATCACTTATTTACAAAATTGTATAACAAAAACTAAGAAACACTTTTTTTTTTCAAAATTTTCAGTGGTTTTTGGTTTGTTTTTAAATAAAAATAAAAAACCCAGAGGTGATTAAATACCACCAAAATAAAGCTCTGTCACAAAAAAAAATGATAAAAATGTCATATGGGTACAGTGTTGCATGACCGCGCAATTGTCAAAGTGCAACAGCGCTGAAAGCTGAAAATTGAACTGGGCAGGAAGGGGGTATAAGTGCCCTGTAGGCTAGTGGTTAAAGGATACGTTCATCTTTTGGCCAAAAATAGTAAATGCACATTTTTTTGCAGGTAAAAAAAATGTGCATTTATTATTTTTGTCCAAAGGAGCCTGTAAAGCACTGCGCCAGCGATCAGTAGATCCCTGATGCCATACAGGTCTACTGCAGACCTGTCAGAATATCTGCTAGCCGTACGCGATGTATGGCCAAGCAGATATTATGACAGAATTATGGACAGATATTATGGCAGAATGAACTACCACGGTGCTCCACAGTGCCGTGGTAGTTAATTGAAAACTCCAAGCCAACATCCTCTAAGGCTACCTGGACTAGTAGGCACTCATTCACAGAACTCACAGTGAATGAGTGACGCAGCCGTGTGGGCAAATCTCCTCACGGCCACGCTGTTTTAAAATCTGAGATAGTACGCAGAGACTTCTCCCCGTACTATCTGTCATAGGGAGGGGGAAAGCAGGTGTGGCAGCGGCTATGGGAACATGTTACATGTTCCACCCTAAAAACAGGTAGAACGTGTAACATGTTCCCAAAAGGTGAATGTATCCTTTAAGTCTCCTGCACAACATTTAGACAAGCCTATGAAATACTGGGAGAATACACTCTGGTCAGATGAGATCAAAATTATAGTTGTTGGATTCCATAATAAACATCATGTTTGAAGAGCAAATGGCGCTGCACATCACCCCAAAAACACCATACCAACAGTGAAGTTTGGAGATGGGAAAATCATGGTGTGGGGTGGTTTTTCAGTATACGGTACTGGTAAACTTCATATCGCTGAAGGAAGGATGAATGGAAAAATGTACCAAGACATTCTTGATAAAAATCTGGCATAGACCAGGATGATGAAGATGAAAAGAGGATGGACATTTCAGCAACACAATGATCCCAAACACAAAGCCAAGGAAACTCTCAGTTGGTTTCAAAGAAAGAAAATAAAGCTGCTAGAATGGCCCAGCCAATCACCTGACTTGAATCCAATAGAAAATCTATGGAAAGAACTAAAGATCAGAGTTCATAGAAGAAGAGGTTCACTGAACCTTCAAGATTTGAAGACTGTGTGGAAGAATGGGCCAAAATCACACCTGAGCAATGCATGTTTCTCTATATAGGAGGCGTCTTGAAGCTGTCTGTACCAATAAGAAATTTTGTAAAAAGTATTACATAAATTTCAGTTAGCGTGTTCAATACGTTTTCCCTGTGTCATTCCATTTTATTACACATAACTTCATTTCTGAATTTATTTTTTTTTTGTTTCTTTGTACGTATGGATTGCATTGGTTGTTACTGACGAGGTGAAAATTTAATGTCAATAGCACTTTTAGAAATATATTTACTGAGAAAAATGGTAACGTGTTCAATACTTATTTTACCTGGTGTATGTGAATTGGATGCATTTTGAACTGCTCGTGATTCGCATGACGTGAACCCGTAGACTTTTCTATGAAGCCGGTTCACATATGTGGGGCTGGCCGCAGCGCATTTTCAAAAAGAGTCTAATATGATTTTCAATTTCATACACTTTGACAATTCACACCTGAATCGTACTTGAACTGATCAACAAAGTTGCACTGGAGGGAGCTAAATTGGGGTTGTCAAAACTGGTCCACACATATGTGTATCCAGGCTAAAGCAACTCCTTTCTCTATAGTACACAACTGAGGTAGACACTAGGACCACATTTACAGTGTGTTTAAAAAAGTGGTTCTAAAGGCTGAAGGTAAAAAAACCTTCAGTGTGCAGCTCTCACCTCCCCCCAATACTTACCTTAGCACAATCTCGATCCAGAGATGTGCACAAGAGCAGCGGCTCTCCCGGGTATCTCCCTCCTCATTGGCTGAAACACAGCAGCGGAAGCCATTGGATTCCTCACTGCTGTCAATCAAAGCCAGTAAAGAGGCAGCTGGGAGTGGGATTTAGCCACATTCTGTGTACCTTATAGATACACAGAGGCGGCTCGAGAGAGAGCACGCACAAGTGCCCACCAACAAGCAGTCTGCTCTGGGTGCACTCCTCAGGGGGGAGGGGCCAGCAGTGTCAATGGGGGACCCTAAACAAAGGAGAATCAGGCTGCTCTGTGCAAAACCATTGCACAGAGCAAGTATGACATGTTTTTATTATTAGGACAAAAAAAATCGAGACCTTTAGTATCACTTTAAGAGAGAGCAGAGAAAACAAAAGATGCTTGATGTCAAAAGACTCATGGAGAACCCTGTTAAAGCAGTGTGACCATGAAGGAGTTAACTCGGTCTGTGATGGAACAAACACAAACAATAAGCTGCCGAATGAACACAATGTCTCATGGAAGCAACAATGTCAACAATCTAGTGTTCCATTTAGAACCACTGAATAAGTCAGATCTACAGTCCATGGTCATCTTGGAAAGGAATCTAGCAAGAAGTCAGAAAACAGAGGAAGAAAATTGCACTTAATCTGTGGCACCTCTGACAAAGGTGATGGCTATCAGGAAAGCTAAAAAAAAAAAAAAAAAAAAAAAAAAAGAGGAAGATTCCCTCAGTAGTCCAAAAACCCCTGAAGACCACAGGACCTCCTCACCAACTGGAGAGACAAAGGAACCACAGGATAAACTTTGCGGCAACTTGGCAAGACTGTCTGTTAATGGTCTCCTGGGGGGCTTTCAGAAGTGCTAGCTTGGGTTTGACCCCTGGCAGTGACAACTGCACTACTTCAGTTCATACAATGCCAAGTCAATGGAACATATACTGTAGTTAACGGGGATGCCATTTTCAATTATGACAGATCAAGAAAAGGTTGTTACCCAGACCGACAAAGGCTTCAGACTATATATCAGGATGTTAACAGGAGTACACTAAAACATGATTCTCCGGGACTGGAGCCCTGGTCTTGCCAAGAAAAGCGATTTCCTATATGCAAGCAACTATGGTAAGCAAAAAATAAAATGCATTTTATTCAAAACTGAAAAAAACTTTCAAGATAAAAAAAGATAAAAAGGAAATGCATGGAAAACATAGTGGTCCCAATATCTAGCTCAGAGTATAGAGCCCACAGGGGAACACCAACTTTCTCAGTATCCAACATTCTGTAAGCAAAATAAATACCCTAACAATACTGATCAGCATATTAACCAGACAACTAGGATGTTCCAGATTTTAACTTGTCATCCCCGCTATGGTTCTAGGTTTTGTTTAAAGCAAATAGTCTAAAAAGTACAAGTCAAGTGTATTCTTTGAATCTTGGTGTACTTTGTGTATTTCTTCCAGATCTGTGAAGCAATCCAGTGTGAACAACTGCCCCAGTGTAGGAGCTTCCAGTAATAAGGAGTGACTGGTCTTCTCTTTACCCCCCTTGTATTTCCGCAGGCAGCTTGTAGTGTGCAGGGACTGCTGGGCCCCTTCCACGGCTCTGCTTTCTACACAGGTTATGTACAGCACAGTGATGATGTCACTGCTACTTTTACAAGGTAATATCTGGGTTTCAAAAGACATTTGGTACACAAAATCTTTAGGTTTTGTGGCTATATATTTAAAGGAAAGTTTCTATGTAGAGAGTTCAGCTTTAACCGCCTCCCGCCCGCCATATAGTAATATGACGGGCGCAAGGCGGTTCTCTCGTTCTGGGAGGACGTCATATGACGTCTTCCCATTCTAACCGTGCATGCATGGCTCCTGGAGCGCGCAGCACGGGCAATGAGCTGTGTCCCTCGGACACAGTGGATCACTGATCAACGGAAAGAGCCGAAGAGGTCGGCTCGGTCATGTGATCAGCTGTGTCCAATCACAGCTGATCACATGTAAACACGGAAATGCCACATGTAAACAGGAAAATGCCGGTTATCGGCATTTCTCTCCCCGTGAGCGGTCACGCTGACAGCTCGAGAGGAGATCCGGTAATTGGCATTCCTCGGAGGGGACATGTACACTGATCATCAGGGCCCTGATGATTAGTGTGCCCTGATGATTAGTGTGCCCTGATGATTAGTGTAGCCCCAGCAGCGCCACCTGTCAGTGTCCATCAGTGCCAGCTCTCAGTGCTCATCCATGCCACCTGCCAGTGCCCATCAGTGCTAGATTTCAGTGCCCATCAGTGCCACATCAAAGCCAAATATCAGCGCCCATCTGAGCTGCCTTTCAGTGTCACCCATCAGTGCCACCTATCAATGCCAGTCAGTGCCACCTATCAGTGCTGCCAATCAGTGCCGCCTATCAGTGCCAGTCAGTGCCGCCTATCAGTGCCATATATGAGTGCTGCCTTTCAGTGCCCATCAGTGATGCCTGTCAATGCCACCTACCAGTGCCTCCTCATCAGTGCCACCTGTCAGTGTCCATCAGTGCAGCCTATCAGTGCCCATCACGGCAGCCTCATTAGCACACATCAGTAAAGGAGAAAAATCACTTATTTACAAACTTTTATAACAAAAACTAAGAAAAAGTTGATAAAGGCAGGAGAGAAGGTAAGCAGTGTATACGGTGAGTGAGCAGTGTGTACAGACAGGCTCCCTCACTTGAAGGAGCTAAATGTCATTGCCAGGTTTTAAATGTAATTTCTTGTTTTTTTTTTTTCTTCCTATAGCTCCAAGAAGGAGCTGTCATGTGTCCCACCTCTAAAGTAAACAAAGGGGCAGAGTCACCAAGTGACATTACCCTGTGACCCCACCCCTTTGTTTAC